CTCGGGGTTGAACGACTTCTGATTTTTTAAAGTCAACTTTTATGTGATGAAAGTCGAGTCGAAGTCGACTAGTCGCTGATGACATCATTAATGAACAAATAAGTCTGGAGCTGTGACAAACACCTTGTGCACAGCTATGGCATATGACACAGCGCTGCCCACATGGCTATTGCTCCTATAACAGCTAATTTTATCAGTTCTTTTGTCTTTGGGTCGTTATATTTCTCACAGATTTCTGCTCATTCTAAATCAGATACAGATAAAGTAGCACAGTAAAGATTACATTCATATGAATGCATTAGTGAGAACGATTGTGTGTCTGAATTAATTCTACCTGGCAGCGTCTCTCTACTAGTAGTGAAGCTGTGGGATTTAGTTATTAAGAAATATATGCTTGAACTTTTCAGTTTCTAAGCTATTTTATTGAGAAATCACAGAACAGTGTTGACAATACATTTCCGCGCTGAATGATTCTGTGCGCGTGGGATCTGCGCGTGATGTATGAGCTACTGTCTGTTGCCTATGTGTGTGCGTTACAGTGCAGCAGCGCATTAGATTAGAACGGCGATTAACTTACCTGTACAATAAGCTGTTTAAAGCGTGCATTCTCCTGTTAAATTTCGAGCATCCAGTAATATAATCACACGTCTTGTGGAGCGCTTTCAGAGTATGCATTTATTTGTCATTTTAACTGTTTGGAAACGGAGCGTAAATGTGGAAGTCCTTCAAAGATTTATGTTGCGTCCTCTATAGGACCAGGGACTAGTTGACGTCAAGCTTAAAGCGTCATGGCAGAGCATTGAAGTCGACTAGTTGATTAGTCGTTGCAACCACTAACTATTACTTTCTTTCTTGAAAGACATTTTTTTTTAAAATATGTTTTTTCTTTTTCTTTTTCTTTTTGGACTTCATTGACTTTCACTGCATGGACAAAAACAATTGAAAGTTTCTTCAAAATATCTTTACTATCCTTCATCATCAATTAGACTTTCTTCTCTTATTTCTGACACTAAGCAACATTTGACAAAAATCCTCCATTCAGAAAGAATCTGCCACAAGAATCTCTACAAACACACGTATCCACTTGCCCTACAAAGAGGGATTTTGTTACATCGATTAAAACTCCTGAATCAGATCTTTGCAGCTTCCTGTCCATGTGTGTAATGACACCTGCTGTGTACATTTATTGTATGACTGTACACAGATTTGAATGTAAGAGTGTGTAATTTAACCCTTGCTGTATGGATCAGCACTAGGCCTAAATTGAAAAGCTATATACCTGGGGGACGAGAGTCTACGTGTGGGTGTTAACAAGTGAATACATGCACTTGAATGTAGTCGACACTGTCATTTGCTATTTCCTGCTGCTGTCACCTCATTTCCTCTAGCCTTTGTCTTCGGCAAAGGACCATGAAACAGCATCTATGTCCTTAAAGTTCATAAAGTCTGCTATATGAGGTTGTATTTTCACCTAGCCTTTCCTGGAAAATCAGATCAGTGCCAGCACCTGCAAACAGTTTGTGTAAAAGTGATTTCCTTCACTCATGTGGGAAACATTTCTGTCTTTATTAAGAGCATTATCAATATGTAACTTCATATATATAGCTTAAGAACAACTAATTAAAGCAACATTTCACTATATATACAATTTATTATTTCAAGTCGCCAACCATCAGTATTTCTTTATAATAACAACTTCAGTGTCTGCAAATATGCATTTAACTAAATTACTTTCTTTCTGTACTTTCCCAAATGCCTTCTATTTCAATATGTGATATCTTCGCTGATTTCACTGACAGAAAAAATAAATGTATGCATTTCTGAGAGTACTTGAAGAAATTATACACTGCCATCTGACTGTTATGGCAGATAATTATGAGTAAACACTGATAAGTTGGCTATCAAAGGAAAGTAAATGTCATTCGAAATTGCAATAACTTTTAGTGTCAAAACAAACTCTGATTTGTTCTATAAACAGTCTGACTAAACCCACACAACTTGCCATTCCCTGCAGGGAGTTTGTACAATAAAAAACCTCAGTGTTGACTATATGAGCCTTTTATGGCTTTGTTTTGTTTTGTTGTATAATTTGCACAACATACATGTGTCTTTTACATTTAAACAATGAGTGAATTAGTGTGCAAAACTTTGCAGCAGTTCTAAAGTGATCTGTTTATATCCATTCAAAATGCATACACACACAAACATTTCCAGGACAAAGAGAATCATCCATCTCTTGCATAACTGAATGATGCTTTTCATGAGAGAGGGGGATAGAGAAAGAGAGAGAGATTGAATAGGTTTAGGAATGCTGACAACCACCAAACGAAAGACGGACATTCCCTGCCAAAATGTGCTGTCTCATTATCCATGTAATCATTATACTATCTCCTGTGCAACAGCCTTGAATGATTTCAGTGAAAATTATCAGTCAAACGTAATGCCTTTGCATAATAAAAAGGCTCCTTCTATTACACTATTAGACATCTGTAAATGATCAGAGTGAATACAATTCACTTAGAATGCAAATTACTCATACCTGACATTATGTAAATACAACCACAAACTCACTAAATTACAAAACAAGCATAGAGTTTAGTTCAGTGTGACAGATCTGTCTTTGATATTTAAGAACAGTTGATCGATACAAACTAAAACTGGACTAAACACAGAACAGAAACAGAAACAGCATTTAAATGTCATTCAAAATTCCACAAAACTTTAAACTGCAAAAAAAAAAAAAAAAATCACAATGCATTCTGCAAATGTAGGCACTGGTTTATTTAAGCCATCAGGAACACTTTTCTAGTAAATTTCACTGACTGCTACCACATGTGTTCGCTTCATAAACCCAATGCTCCTGCACAAACCACACTCATTACCCAGAATCCACTGCATACAATGTGGCTGCAGACACAAATTAAGACCCCTTATAGCTGCCTCAAGGGTACAGGCCTTTAACTGGATACCCTAAAGTTCAGTTTAAGAACTTATAGTACAGCCCTAGACACGGATCTGTTACTGCACTAAAACGATCAATTTATTAAAACTGTCGACTGGACACACCTAATTTTTTGAATGTTTGCAAATCAGTTGTGATCGTTGACCTTTCCAAAGCCTGTGGTTTCAGTTTCAACGTTTCAAACTGTTCAGATTTTTTTTTTTTTTGGATACACCTGAACCTGCATTATGATCAGGGTGAAGAACATTACAGAATCCTGTCTTTTTTCTTTATCTCGTCTGCCACTATTTTCTATCATTCCTTACATGATCTTGCCTTTATTTCAGTACAAATTAAGTTTATGTCAGTCATTTTGTTTCTATTGTAGATTATTATTAAGAAAGATGTGATGCCTGAAAGCAATGCTATTGTGGATGTAATTAAAATTGGACTGATTTTACGAGGACGTTTGCAGAAGGAACACAACTAAGAACAAGTGTTTAGTGTGGGAAGACTGTCCTGTAAAACACAAAATCAAAACTACATTGCCTCCAAAAAAAAAAAAAAGTTCTCAAAACAGAATCTAAACATCTCTCACAGTGCCTAAAAACAGCTAGACACTCCCACTTCGTAATAAATAAAGTAGTTATGGTTCTAGTGTTTTAGAGTACATTCTGAGCCAGGGTCTTTGTAGTGACATTATTATCTTTGTACTTCGTATAGGCTAATTAAGAAGGCAGGAAGTTATGTAAAGGCCAGAAGGGATGGGTCAAATTTCTCCTGAAGATGCTTTAGGTTTGTCAAGCATTATATAATTATGTTGGCAGGTGGTAAAACACTGTGACATGAGATTTTATAGTTCTGTGAATTACTAAACAACAACATTTGCTAGGAGGGCTAAAATCCTGAAATCGCAGAACTGTTCCTCCTGGAGCACATAAAAACATTCCTGTCATATTAAGCAGGGTCTGTAAGGAAGCACAATTCACGCATTGTCCTGTAACACTGACAGCCTTTTGTTTCAAAGTCTTCTTTAACTGCTGAAGGCATGCATCCCCCTTCTGTAGAGTCATTACTAAATTCATAGACCTATGAGGTTCTGGAAGTTACTTGCAGTCAGAAGGATGTGACACAAGGAAGAGTGGGGCTGACTCTTGGTGAAATCTCTCCAAAAATGTTTATCATAGGCTGACTCAACACTGTTTAAGGAAAATAAAAGGACTAAGAAACAGCACCGAAAGAGTGCAGAGTATGGCAAGCCATTTATATATTTATTCATTACATCCCTAACTAGTAAGTAATCTAATACTGACTAATATCACTGTCAATTTTACCATCTTCCTGTGCTATTAATCACAGCAGTTTTCCTAGCAGATACTGAATAGACACTAAAATGCATTTTGATTGTTACTAGTAATATTTTGAATTGCAGACCTTCTGACAAGTCATTATATATGACATGCAGGGGGGAAAAAATCATAATTGTAACTTGTCATAATAATTTTTACATGTTCCATAAATAGGTACTAGTTTCCAACACATTAATACTGGTAAAACTGTAATAAGTACCAGCAGTAATTAGAACACACTAGTGAGACATAAATTTGCATTTTTTTACCAGAAGCAATAGAATAGTTATTTTTCATTATCAGATAGCAAAGGAGTAAGTATCAGTATCGAATGAGGAGAATAGTTATCAGTGAAAATAAGATATTGTTACTTACTAGTTATTTAAAATAAGTACTAGTAACAAAAAAAAACATGTATTCTTTAGGAATAAATGTTAAAATGGCTTGCCACATGTGAGCGTGTTTTGGCAGTAGCTCTTCCACCTGCTCTGAATGATGGTGCTTTACAAAGTTAAATCACTGAAACATCACGACCCTTTCATTAAAACTCTCCAAAGTTATCATATGTAACTTAAACTGGTTAAAATCAAGTATGTAGTCGCAAAAAAGACTACACCGCTCGCCATTTCAAATGTACTGAACCATAGAGAATCAACTTTGCGCTCCTAGTTTGAAAACACCAGCTCAGGGGTTCAAACTGAGTCTTTTACCTTGTTGTAGTTGTAGTATCCCAGGCAATGGGAAAAATCCAGGTTTTGTGGGTCTCCAGGAATAGAATTCCCTCCGGCAGACGGATAAAATACATCCATGTTTCCTCTCGGCGAAGCGCTGCTCTATGAAAAGGGCGCAATTTTTCTCTTACTTGTCCTTCAACAATCCAGGCGCGGTGAATGAGAGGGAAGCAGTGAACAACGCGGGTTTAATGCAGCTCAAGGGGACAGAGAAAGGTTAAAAGGATGTTGTAATGAGTTTTAGTAATCCTCTTCTATAAGCAGTGATCGCTGGCCATAGTTTTGGGATGTTGAGGAAGGCTTGGCGATGTTCAAACTGCTCCTGCGCTGCGAGGTTCAAGCATGCTTGGAGAAAAGCAACACAAAGAAAGCCGGCAAACTGCAACTCCGCTATAATGTTCTCCGCTCAGATACACGCTCACAGACAAGCTCGGTGGCTGGATGATTTAAACACAAAGTTGTTCCCGCTCTCAGTGTTTCAAAGCCTCCATCAATCCACACTTTACGTTTCAAATTAACCGCTGCCGGTTAGTTGGAGATCTGGAGACACTTTAGCCACTCAAAGCTTGGCTAATTAAATGAAACGAAGCCCTCCAGACACATGAATAATACTGTCCGATGGCACCGTTAGTCCAAGAAACTTGGGAAGCGGTGTTTACATATTCATTACAACGCTTGAGGGACTCTGGACAGCCAGTGGTCTCTGTTTACTTCAGCCAACATCAAGCTGTGATGGAGAGAGTGGGGCTCAATGCGACCACTCCCCGAGCACCCATCGCCACTCCCCTATCAGCCCCAGAAAGAAAACCCCCGCGTACATTGCATGGATGGACAATATAGCCAATATATTAAACTCATAATCACTAAGCTGATTTTTTGCTTTAACTTTTTTTTATTTTTTTAAATATTTTTTTTGGTTTAGCCTGTAAACAATAATAAGAATAAAGTAAATTTCTTAAAGGGGTCATATGATGCTGCTAAAAAGAACATTATTTTGTGTATTTGGTGTAATGAAATGTGTTTATGCAGTTTAAGGTTAAAAAAACACATTTTTAAACTGCAAGAGTGTGTCTGCCTCCCGAACAATGTTAGGTAGGTTATTCCAGAGTTTGGGCGCTAAATAGTCAAATCAAGTTTATTTGTACAGCGCTTTTCACCATACAAATCATTGCAGTGGATTCTTTTTATGCGTTGCGTTGTGTTGCATCTCGCCGCGTAAACATAAAACCATTTCTGCATTTGTGACCGGAGAAATGACAAACAACAAGCCCTACTCTACACTGCCCAAAAAACTCGCTTTAAATATATAAAATATACAAACAGCCGGCATTGTAGTCTACTCTCCCAGGATCAGGCAACATTCCTCCATAAAATGCGCTGCACACATCTTAATATTTGGGTTGAACTAGACTTTAGTCTTTGCAACTTTACAGATCTTCTTTATGCACCAAGAGCTTGTAACACTCCAAAGAGAAAGGAAAAATTGAAATCGCATCATATGACCCCTTTAAAAAAGTAAAAATATTTATATATAAAAAACTTTATATCAGGTATTGTACATGCCCCTGTGTTTTTTGAATAAGCTTGTATTGACTTTTTATAAGGATATATTTATTTATAATCAAAATTTAAATTCTAATTGTGTGTGTGTGTGTGTGTGTGCGCGCGTGCATGCGTGCGTGTGTGTGTGTGTGTGACTGCAGTTTAAGTACTAGCTACCAAAATTTGTGCACATTAGCATGCTGATAATACATTTATTATATTATTACTACATATATGTAGTGTAAGTTGGTGGAAACGCACATGCACTCTTAAAAATAAAGGGTCCAAAAGGGTGTTTTTGCAGCAATGCCATAGAACAACAATGTTTGGTTCCCCAAAGAAACTTTCAGTAAGCAGTTCCTAAAAGAACCATTTTGAAGAACATTTAAAAAATCTAAAGAACCTTTTTCAACTATAAAGAACCTTTTCTGCATTCGAAAGGTTCCATGGATGTCAAGTTTCATCATAGAACCATTGATGCCATTATAGAACCATTATTTATAAGAGTGTAAGAAGTGGCTGTTCACCGTATTGAGCTTTTAAAACCTGGAAGAATTTGCATTTCTGAGATCATGAGTTTGTGATGAGTAAAATAAAGTAGGCTGTGGTGACCATTACCTCAAGAGACTTTTGAGTTTTGTTCTACAACATAAATAACATGATGACTGATGAGTAGGGCAACCATTTTACGGTTTTAGTAAACATAAACTGAGATTTGACTGTATATGTGATTTATGTTGTAGAAGAAAACATCAAAGTCTCATGAAAGTCGTACTAACCACAGGCCTTATTTTACTTGTAAAATAAAAGCTCTATTCTAAAAGCCCATAGGAGGTTCCCAAGGGTGAAATAGCCTTCTGAGTTGGCCTAGAAATTGACGTCATGATTGTACAGCTATATTGGTATTTAGTATTTTCTCTTGGTTTAAAGCAGAGTTCATGGCGGCCTTCATTCCCATTAGCTCATCCTCAACCTAAACACAGACTCCAAAACTCAACATCACAGAATCTCTTGTAAATTCCAACATAACAGGACATTAAACACTAACAAGTCTCCTCCTTTTATCATCTTATTCAAAAACACATTAAATATACATGCTGGGAACTCGAAATTCTCTGCCCATTTCCAGGCTCGAACAGGAACACGAAATTGCACTTTGATCTGAAGCAAGTAGTTTAATTAAACAAAAATTGATTGTGAATTAAAACAAAGACATAAAACATAATTTTATTGGGTCACATCAAATATAAACAATTCTTAAAAAGTAAAGACACCCTATGCACCTTTTCTTAGTGCAATTCAGCAGAATTCAAAATGTGCAGAAGATGTTTGAACAGAATATCCAGATCATTTGCATGTGGATAGGCAGTTTTCCTCTCAGCTCTTTGCTCAGTCTTTTTAAGGGTAAGCAATGCTTTAGGAAAAAAAGTCATTAGTAGTGTATTTCTTAACTAATGCAAGGCAAATGTGGGGCAATTGGAAAGAGAGAGGATGTGACATATATACATAGTTCCTGAAGCCAAATCAAACAGTTTGTTGAAGCAGCTGGATAACATTCCCAATTATGACCACCAGGGGCTACAGGCTACAAACACACTGGGGGCATTTTACAATGATTTATCATTTAGAACAGTAATTTGAATGTTTTAATTGTATTTATTTATTTATTTTCACATTGAAGCTATGTCATTAGAATTACAGTATGGATTTACAACATTCAGGTAATCATACAATGCAATAGCAAAAACAAATAAAGTTTGACGACTGGGAAATAATTCTGAATTTTATCCAAATTATAATGGAGAATTTAGTCATATTTAGTGCCACAAAAATAAACCTAAAACCTTTTTATTTTTTATACTGTTCATACAAGCTGAAAGGTTGCTGAGAACTAATTTATTTTCTTGAAAAAATTGTCACGCATGTATAGTGCATTATGGGATGGGATGAGTTCTGTAATCCCAAGGGTCTAAATCAGAGAGCTATAGATGAAAGTAACTCCACCAGCAAAACAGAGGCTCAGCTGGAAGGTAAGTGGCAATCATGATTGCATTTGCATTCACAGTGTTCCTTTGAAAATGTTCACTCTCGTGCAATGCATAATCCTATATTACACAAAACAGCCAAAAATTTAATTAAGATGTGTTTTCGCATTTAAAATTATCTACAAGGGCTAAGGATTTTACAAAGGGAAAGAAATGCATGGAGTATATGCACATTATATGAATAACATTTCTTTCTTCCACTCAGACAGACACTCATACAATAAACATGCATGAACAGACAAACATGCGCGCATGCTATCTACACACACACACACAGACAGACGATCAGATAAGGAGGGTGTTCCACATTCCACGTTGTTGTTATTACATTTGATAAGTGTGGTGATGAATGCGCCCGATCTGATGTGCGCAGGAGCATCTTTGATTCTCTGTTATTATTTATTTGTGTGTGTAATGTTGTTTGCCCATGTGGCAGGAGGGAAACTGAATTAATTTCCTCTCTGTGGGTTTGGTGTCAGCGTCTGAGCACAGATGAATTATGCCGCACTCACACTTTATGTCATTTCCTCTACACCCGGCAACATTGTCACCATTTGGTAACCTGAAAACAAATGGTCCCACTCTGGCACAAGTTCAAATTCAATTATAGCAGCCCATAGTAATTATGTGGAGATATAAAAGAGTCATAAATGCAAAATAATTAATTAACCTAATAATCTTTATTTATGCGCACCTCATATTAAGCCTGTGATCTCTCCATTGTGGCAGTGTGCTCTAAATTAGACCGAACAGCTGTGGATGTAGAAGAAGAGGCATCAGTGGCATCAATAATATCCATATCTCATTTCTCATGTGCTTATTATAAAACAAGGCCAAATACTTCACATAATGCAAATCTTTTAGCTGCATTTATATGTAGGCCACACTAATATATAATGTGATAATGACACCTTATACGTGCCCTTTTGTGATACATACAAATTCAATTGTGTATTGTATTTTGTCTTGTGATTTATCATATAGCAGCCTACACATCATTTTGCATTTGTTATGTGCGACTCTTGTCTTCTGGGTCTCAAACGTGTGACCCACAGCATTACTTTTCCCCCCAGAGCTCCAAATTATTCTCTGCTATGAATCTAAAGAAGAGCGTCTTCTCCTGTGACCTTGGCAAACTGACAAATCAGCTTTGCTCCGTTGAGCATAGAAAATATACACTCAAGATTCAGCTACAGTCCTCTTAGATATCAAGCTTCCCCCCCCCAATTATACATGGATTCATATAGAGGGGTGATATTCTTGGGCGGTTGGGTCTGTGCGATTGCCTTGGCCTTCAGTCTTCTTTATTAGACACTGAGCTCTTTGATCTCTCCCCCCTTTGTAATGCAATAAAGTCGAATTGTCATTGAATAAAATGTTCAGCTAGTCTCACATGTCCAAAAGCCCATCAGAAGAAGAGTCTGATACATTTGCTTTCATTAGTGCAGCCATTGGTCAGTGATGTAACCCTGAAATGATGCATTTGTACATATTTAAATGAGTAAAATAATTCCAATAATAATAACAACAACAACAAATCTACTGAACATTTAAAATGCAAGTACTTAAAACGGCAAGAACTTGAAATCAGCTGAAAAATCTCCATAGAAATAGAAATACACTTCCAGAGGCAGGGGCTTAAATATTTAAAATGTTTATTTTAAAAGGGCAAACCACAGAATTGAACAAGAATCTTAAAAGGTAACTGAATACTAAATGATGTATCTCGTATGTCACTGAGCTCCCTGATGGGCTTGGGTGGAGCTGATTTTTCAGTGTTTGTATTTCTAAACTCTTTGTATGCATTTGAATCTTAATTGTGTGTAAGAATAACAACATCAGGCTACATTGGATCAGAGGAGAATACATTTACTCTGCCCTTTACAAATGATGTTTTCACAAGATTTGATTCTCTAACACCCTCACCCCCTCCCTTCTATATCATGGCTGATACTGCAGTATGCAGTGTGGATATGCTGTCTTTGCATTTTACATAGAACCCTCAGGGGCCATCGCCTCTAATACAGCATTCAGTAATGATGAGAGAGATAAAAGATAAAAGTGCTTTCTTTTTCTCACTACACCATTTCCTAATCTATCTTTTTCTCTCACCCTCCTTCTCTGGCATTACAGTTGTATTGCTGTATTTGCACTGTTTAAATGTAGGTAATAATGTGCTGCAATGTTGTCTGTGATATGTGTTATCTGTGATATGGTGATG